TTATAATTCCAGTTTGTTTGCTTAGCTCTGTCTCCCCTTTCCCATAGTGATAAGCTCTGAGGGCAGATAGTGAGCAAGCTAATCCATCTTGTGCATTGTTTCCTTCCCCACAAGAGTGGGGATGGAGGAATGATGACACTTGGTAGATGTTCAGGATGTTAAGCTAGAAGTAAAACCTTACCTTTCTGGTGTGGACATCAGGGCACTTTCCCATAGCTCTATAGCAGTTTGTGTGATCAGTTTTCCCGTAGCACAAAAACCTGAAATTATGTTGCTATTTGTCTTCCCTACCAGACTGTGATGAGCAGGCTCAAAGAACTGTATCTTGCAAATTCCTAAGTCCTAAACATCTCCACAGTTCCTGGATTACAATAGACAACAAATGATTAGTGAATGAAGTTATTCTTTTGTTAAAAGGTGACTTGGGGATTGTAAGATGTCTCAGTGCTTGTGCAAAGACCTGGTGGATTGCATCCTATGACTGGATTTCACCAGGTGGAAGGAGACTCCTGAGAGCTGTCGTCTGACTTCCACATGTACACTGTGGCATGTGTATTTGCATACACACAATACATATACAAAATTAATGACAAAATTAAAAAAGATTATTTAGTTAAAAGCACAGCTCAACTGAAAGATGGTTGCCAGTTATTTATTTTATTTATTTATTTGTTTGTTTGTTTGTTTTTAAGAACAGAAGGCAAGGTAGTATGTTTTTGGAGATGCAGCTCTGAATCCCCTTCTGAGTCAAAATGACTACTTTATTGATTACAGAAGGAGAAAACTTTTGGGAATCAAGCTAGTAAACTCTACAGAGATGAAACAAAATCCCTTTTTGCAATAGAGTTTGGAGGAAGATGTGAAAGTTCTATGGGAAAGTACATGAGAAGGTATTTTGATTGTGAGTAGAGTTCCAGTTCTATACATTGTGACTTGCTCCAAAAAAAAAGGTTTCCTCTTCGCGCGTGCTCATGGAATTCAGTTAAGGTTTAAGGAGAGAGACGACATATGGCCACTGAATTATGGCACCGAAAACTGGATTGGCTCACAGTGTCCCTGATAAGATCCAGTTTTCATTTCCTCTTGGGCTTGGCATTTGCTACTCTTTTATTTTCCCAAATCACCAATGAATTTTTGATGAATATTATAATTTCATTTGTGTTTTGACTCAGCCACACTCTAGGAATGTGACTGGAACTTTTTTAGTGCATTCTGTCACTTACAAAATGGAGATAAATATCCAGCATCTTATATTCATGTGTAATTCTGAAATTAAATTATTACAAACTTTGGAAAATTGATTCTTTAAAAATTTTTATTACATATATTTATTTATTTGCGGGGGAACATGAGTATAATCATGCACATGTGGAGGCTAGATGACATGTTTATCGTGTTCCTTTTTTTTTTTTGTTCCTTGTACGTACCAGCAGCAAGTTCTTTTACCCACTGACCTATCATGCTGGCTCTGCATAACTGGATCTTTGTGTATCTTCCTTTTCAAGAGTTATTTCTAAGTGTGTGTGTGTGTGTGTGTGTGTGTAAGGGAGAGAAAATTTGTGCACACGCATGCAGTACCCATGGAGGCCAGAAGAGGGCATTGGATCTGGAGTTAAAGCTAAAGGCAGTTGTGAGTTGCTCAACATGTGTGCTAGGAACCAAACTTGGATCCTTTGTAAGCAGTACAAACTCTTAAACTATTAGCCATCTCTCCAATCCTTTGTGGTCCAGATTCAAGTTTATTGTTACTTTTCCTCTTGACTAGAAAACATGTTTTATTTAAACATGTTAATTTTCTGACAGATAGGCATACGGTAAATGTACTTACTTATTATTCTACATAGGTGTTTTAAATTTTTACTTGGAAAGGGGTGTCAGTATTTAGTCTGCGGATCCATTTTTTGGTGTTAATAGTGTACTTTAAAAGCTCTTCAATATCTTAATATTCCTTATATTATTATTAGAATTAAAACTATGAATTGGGGCTGGAGAGATTCCTAGCAGTTAAGAGCTCACACAGTTCTTGCAAAGGATCTGACTTTGAGTCCTGGTACCCATGTCAGGCAGCTCACAACTGTCTGTAACTCCAGTTCTAGGTGATCTGACACCTTCTGGCTTCTATAGGCATGTGGGTGCACACACACAAATAATAAAATAAATCTTCAAAAAAAAAAAAACAGCAACAACAACAGCAAAAGACCCCATATTTCGACTTAAATTATATGTGATTCATAATTGTATATCCTGTGAAGTATGATTCTAGTGTTTTTACACTGGCTTTTCCCCCTTTGAATGTATTTTAAAAATATGTTTTCACTTACAAAAATATGTATTTCTTTTTGTAAGGTGGTGAATATTGGATGAGGACATATGTAGGAAAGTACACTTATATGAAGCCTTCTATATTTGTGCATATCTTATCTACATCTCTACCATTCTCTCTCTTCATTGCTAAGGACATCACAATTTTATAGGATATTTGAGTTTTGTTATCATTTCTACTTCATTCACCTTTTGCCATTTATTTATTTAATCAATTTGCAAATGTGAGAGCCATTCCAGTTCTTTGTTTGTTTGTTTTAAAGATATAAGGGGAAGTTGGTTTGGAGAACTGAGGAGGGATTTTCTTCTGTGTGAAGATAAAAGCCCCCTTTTTCATAGCCACTGCTCCCTCTCCTTGTTTGGATGGACATGACCAATCCAGATTCTAGGAGCTATGGCTGTCATCTTGGAAACTGGAGTATAACATACTAGTTCAGAGTGACAAGGTGAATGAACTTGAAAAAGCCTAGGTCTTTTGAAATAATAGTATTTCTAAACAAGCCCAGAATTATCTTTCTTCATATCCTAGACTGGTTAGATGACAAATGACTATTGATTGAGCCACTACTACTCAAGGATGCATATGAGTGTGAATCCTTGAGGGTGCTTTTGTATACTGGGAAAGAATTTGAGATTGAAAAGTTAGGAATAGTCCAGGTATGTGGAACATACCATTAATTCTAGCACTGGGGAGGCAGAGGCAGGCAGATTTCAAGAATTTGAGCCTAACTTGGTCTACTTAGTGAGTTTCAGGCCAGCCAGAGATACATGAGAACTTGTCAAAAAAATAAAAGCTAGGAAGAACTGACTGAGTTAGTAGAATGAGTCTTTACTTGCTGCTTTCTACGGTGTCACTAAACTCACAGAGCTGTTGAAAGGACTAACTAAAATTTTCAAATTATTCACTTTGGAGCTGAAGAAGGGGTATTAGATATTCTATCGCTCTTGGACTGTAGTGTGTGTGTGTGTGTGTGTGTGTGTGTGTGTGTGTGTGTGTGTGTGTTGGGGAGGGGTGAAGGTGTACAGGTAAAAAGGACTTTGGTGAATTGTGTTTTTGTGAATGACTTTAAGTGTTTTTTTTTTTTTTTTTTTTTTTTTTTTTTTTTGAAATATGCCCAAAAGTCTTAAGCTGTCCCTTCAATGTTTAGTACCCTCTGGTCTCCCATTTTCTATACTTTGTGTGAGTCTCATTGTTTCATCTTCCTATTCCTCATCTTGACTGTCCCTGTCAGAAATAAACTTATCTTCTACCCTGTCTCCTTGAGCCCCTTTATTAATTGTCACTCATTAACCCAGTGTTCCTGGTGTGTGCCAGTGGCTTCTTGCACAATAGGTGCAGACTTTTATGGGAGCCTTGAACTGACAGCAGGAGTGGGAATTTTCAGAGTTATATAATGAAGTCAAGTAAAGTGCTTGCCTTCTTGGTGCTTCTGAGAGACCCCAGCTGGGATGGATGCTCAGCTGACAACTACTCACCACTCCACAAGTTTGGACCCTGTTGATGTCCTCTATGCTTGATGGCTTCACTGCTTGCCAGAAGGGGTGGTTGATTCCCTCTCCCTCACAGAGCAAGCATGGTTGATGATGGCTGTTGCTGAGAATGTCCTGTGGTTTGAAGTGTGCTCACCCAGGGGGTGGGTTTTAAATTAATTCTGTAGAGTACTTCTACTAAAGGGAAGTTGATATTTTTATATTTTTTGTTTTGTTTTGTGGTGTTATTGGTTTTATTTGTTTGTTTTGGTGTGTGTGTGTGTGTGTGTGTGTGTGTGTGTGTGTGTGTTTTGTTTTTTTTTTTTTTTTTTTTTTTGAGGCAGGACTTTCTTCATTCATAGCCCTGGCTACCTGGAACTCACTATGTAGACTAGACTTACCTCGAACTCACAGGGATATACTTGCCTTTGCTTCCTGAATGCTGGGATTAAAGATGTGAGCCACCACACCTAGCCCAAAGGGAAGTTTCGTATGAAGTTAATTTCAGAAACCGAAGAAGTTCAACAACAAAGCCATGTTTAAAATAGTGACCATGAGCCTTGGGATTTGAAAAATGTTTCTCCAGGTACCTAATCTTGGCCATTGCCAATCCCAAAAGTAGACATTTCCCTTTGTTTTGTTCTCTTCTGTTGTCTCATTTGCCAAGATTGAAGGTCAATGCATCAATAAAAGCAGTAGAGCCAAGTTAGCAAGGTCTGTGAGGCCAGCAACTATGCCAGCCCATCCATTTTTGACCATGTTCGACCTACAAACTAGGACATTGTCTTATATTTTTGGTTGTGAGCCTAGCCTTTAACAGCTGAGCCATCTCTCCATCCCAACAGTGTCTTATAGTTTAATGCAACGGTATAATTCTATTATTTGGTGACTGCTTATTGAGTGCTGATTATTAAATAACTTTAACAGCTCCCAAGCGACTAAGCTTGGACTCAAGCAATGTCTGATATCAGCACCCCTGCTTCTCACAATTTTTAATGAACCTTTTCTGATTTTCTGTCCTCTAGATAGTACAGCTAAAGATAGACTTTTCCTACGTTTTGAAGTTCACTACACCCCTCAGAAAATGTGAGAGAATGCAGCCAGCCTCCTCGGGAAGATTAGGAGGGCAGTAAGATAACACAGCCACCTCTAGGCTGATATTTGAGCCCTGCTTTCTACATGGTCAAGACTTTCGGAGGCAGCCAGCCTCTATATTTAGGAAGAACAACTGTGAGCTATGACAGGAATTCTCTTTAACACTTAGCCTTAAACTGAGTTCCCCTCTAGCCCCAAGCCAGGAGCAGCTCTCAGAACTGAAGAGACACAGAGCACTCCAGCTATTTCAGCTACATGAAAAGCGCTGGAATTGTGATCCTAGCTCAGACGACACCGGGAGTTCCTTCTATCCTCTAAAGAGCTTTGTGTTTTTTCACCTGACTGCCTGGGACTGTCCTCAGGCAGTAAACAAATCCAGAGAGCAGGTAAGCTTTGGCTGACAGCTTTCTAGAGGGAATTTCTTTGATCACTAACAAAGTGACTACTCAGAACTTTGTACTTGGCTAAGTACTGCGTGTAGCTTCTTTGTCAATTCCCCTCTTACTGGTGGTAACCCTGATTTTATACTTTGTGTGTGCATGTGTGTATGTGTGTGTGTGTGTGTGTGTGTGTGTGTGTGTGTGTGTGTATTGAACTAAAGGGGTTTTCATTAACAGGGATGTTAAGAAAATACTCACAATCCAGATATGATAACTGTGACCTTGAAGCTCTGCTGGCTAGTGTTACAGTCAGCTGCAGACTGCTTACAGGTTCTAAGTTGAGAATTAATCAGAAGTGTGGGCAGAGGAAAGCTGGAACATTAGTTTTGTGTGTGTGTGTGTGTGTGTGTGTGTGTGTGTGTGTATGTGTGTTTGTCTAAATAAAACCATTGTGAGAGTGTTAGATGGCGTAAGTTTAGAATGCTTTTCAGGCATAAGTTTAGAATACTTTTCTCCTTTCCTCAAGTGCCGGGCTTGGTCTCAACAACAAGCTTGCATAGACAGAATCATCTTTTCAAGAGCTTTGCTTTGGTCGCTGTTTTCCTGTACCCAGCAGGGTAGAGGGCAGTACTCAGTGTCCTTCCTTGTCTCCGTGGGCACCAGATTCCAAGGTATGGAACTGCAAAAACTCTCTCTTTCCTCCCAGCAAAGTGAAGTGGTCAGCACATCATTCTACACCCTCCGTGGGAATTATTTTTAGCTTCAGGATAGAAGATAAATCCCTTTGAGATAGAGCTTTACTCATTTCCTTGACCTTTCAAAAGAACAAACAAAGCTCTTCATTCCAAACAGCGATTGATTTTCCCCGTAATCTCATCTTGGGAAATAAGTAATATTAAAGTTGACTGGTTTTAGTAAGTTTAAGGTTTTTATTTAGAAGCTAGCTATTAGGTGCTGCCCAATCAAAACCAAATAGAGGTCTACATCATCCATGAGTCAGCATATAGACCATTAAAAGTTCCCACAGTCTGCCAGGAAAAACTTACCTGTGCTCAGTTGGCAAGCCTCACCAGTTTATTAAATCAATATATGCCTTGTCAAACTTGTAGTGTTTCAAATTTTAGCCAGATCCAGGAGACAGATGTAGCAATTATGTGTTGTAAAAAGTACCTATTTGGATAAAAAGCGGTGGTCCTGAAGTGGGTAGTGGTGAGAGTATAGCAAGCATCTCTTGCTGTTTCCACCCATGGAAGAAGCATGCAGATGTAGAGGGAAGGTATACTACACTCTACATCCTGATGGAGGTGAATGCTCAACCAGGGAATCAGCCAGGGAACACTGTCTATTTTTATTCATCACCGGGCTTTGCCCTGATTTCTCTGCAAATAATGAGGACAGCAGGAACTGCTGCTGAACTGATTTATACAAATATTCTCTAGCCTGATGTTGAGAAATGAGAGCAGGAAGTGAATTGACTTTCTATAGATGTCTAACGAAGATGGATGAAGATGTTAAGAAGAGATTCAAATACCAATGAGAATATAACAAAGCTACCATAGGGGAGACAAAGTCCATATATCTGTTAGGTTCAGGGTGTCCCAGAAAATACTGTAATCCAGTGGTTGGTGCAAACTGTCAGGGAAAAAAATAAATCACAGATAAAACTCAATGCAGTATAAGTAAAAGCACTCATTGTTTGCTGCTTTCGTATTTCAACTTGCTAATGTAATCACATAAGGGCATTTCCTAATCCTCATGATTTAAATTAATATATAGTAACTTAAACAAAAACCAAAACAAACAACGTTGCAAAGCAGTGGTGCCTGCCTTTAATTCCAGCACTTGGGATGTAGAGGCAGGTGGATCTCTGTGAGTTTGAGGCCAGCCTGGTCTACAGAGCTAGTTCCAGGACAGCCAGGGCTGCACAGAGAAAGGCTATCTCAAAAGATATGTTAATTCAACTCTAGTTGTAATGCATATATAGTGAAAACTGTGGTATTTAAAGTCTTATAAGAACTATTATTTTTGTATTATTTTTCTTAACTTTTAGCAAGTGGAAATGTCAAAAATCAAGCTTTTCCAAGCATATCATTTTGGATTTGAGCTGTATGCCCTAGAATAAATGGCAAATTAGAATGTTCTTTATGTCTCTTTGATGCTGGAAGGAAGACAGCACTCAACTTAAAACTGATCATAGAGAAAAATGTATCTTTGATTGATCAATATTTTGTTCTTAATTTTTAACTGTGTTTAAATTGGCTCTTCTTGGAGCCTTATTGTGGAAGCAGTAGCTATATCTTGGCAAAACATTTAGACCAAACTTTAAAAGTTCTGTTATTTTCATGTACATAGCCACCAAAACTATATATGAGATATAATAATTGTAGATATTTAAAAAATAAATGTACAATTATTTATCTTCATAGAATAGAAGCTAAAATCTAAACTCAAAAAAACCTTGCATTTTTGCAAAGTTTTCTGATCATTCATTTCTGTGTTGAAGACTATGTGCCAGTTCTTCTCTATACTTAAGGCTGTGGATGAGCACAGCACTCAGAAGTTGTTAGCTGTGGCCATCAGCAATAATGCAACAAACATTCATACCATGCCCTAGAGTTCAGAAAGCCTCGCCAGAGGCATTATGTCACTCAGATCTTACCATAATCTGTGAAGCAGGTTCATTTTAAAAAGAGGAAACAGGCCTAGAAATAGTGAATGGCATTGCCTAAGCTTAAGATGACTTGTGTGAAATACTAATACTGCTCCATGTGTTCATTCAGCCACACATTAACCGTATTCATAGCGCTCAGTAAACTTTTTCTTCCTTTCTTTCTTCTTTCTTTCTTCCTTTCTTTATTGTTTTTTCCAGACAGGGTTTCTCTGTGGCTTTGGACTAGCTCTTGTAGACCAGGCTGGTCTCGAACTCACAGAGATCAGCCTGCCTCTGCCTCCCCAGTGCTGGGATTAAAGGCATGTGCTACCACCAACCGGTTTAAATATTGCAGATGTTTGTGAGCCACCATGTGGTTGCTAGGAATTGGACAGTGTTCTTAACCTCTGAGCCATCTCTCCAGCCCCCTTCAGTCAACTCTTAAGGTTTTGAACAGATAATGCCTTTAATTCAATGAGAGTTTAACTTTTTACTTGATCTGGTTGATTTTTAACAGACAGCTATAAAAACAGGCCAGAGCTAGGTTCATTATTATTCTTTGTTCCTCTAACTCCAACAAACCATAGCCTACATCCCTAGATGGGCTTTGTTCCCATTGATCAAAGTTAGGTCTCGTGTGTTTAAAGAAAGCTGGGGAGGAAAGCACTTTTACATCCGGGGTCGGGGGTCCATTATGTCGTCATAATTCTGAACGGAGATTGGTCTAGAACATTCTGGTTTCCAGTGTTCTGGAACCTTGGCTTGTTGGGGACTCAGAGTCTCCCAAGTCTCCAGGAGAAGAGCTGTATGCCCTGCTGAGAGAGGATATTCGGAGACATCTTTGGGTATTCTACCGAGAAGAGTTGCCCCTGGTGAAGTGAGTAGCTTCCCTGACAACAGTAAGTACAGATCAAAAGTTCAGCTTCGAGCTGAGAGCCTCGGCCGAACAAAGGTGTTTTATTCCCACCACCTCTTCAGTTTGCTGCTCTTGGCAGAAGGTCAGGAGGGCAGGCAAAGAGATGATAGGGCCTTTCAAGTTTCTGATCACCTATCGTTTGCATCAGGGCAAGGGATCTCAGTATATCTCCTCCTGAATGATTTATCGAGGTGCTCTAGTGTTCTCTCTCCCTGAGGCATTGGGAAAGAGTCTCCAAGTAACTGCAGAAACTGAGACTGAAAGAATATATGCCCAGCGAAAGGGGCAACTGCCCAGTTGAATCATGAGTTAAAATTCTAATTTATCAAGACCTTGAATCTGAAGGCTGTCACTTTTACAGTGTCTTGTTTATTTTTTTAGGGGTAAGACGTCGTGAATATGTCGAAACAGCCAATTTCTAACGTTAGAACCATCCAGGTAAGTAGGTGTATTTGTGTTTTACCAACAACTCTGGCTTCTGGTCTGATTCCTTAGTAAGTCATGCCAACTGCAATTTGTTCATCTCTAACTGATCATTAACTTTAAGAAGAAAACAAAGTTCCTATTTATGAGACTTAGGAGGCAGATTTGAGAAAGGGCTTTAAAACCGATAGGGTATAACTGAGAACCAATGCTACTTTTGATTGCTATGAATCACAAGGCAATCAAAATTCATAAATAAGAATTACACTCAACAAAAGGTACTAGATTCACAAGAACCTGATCTGTCTTTTATGAAGAACCAGAGAGAGGCTCCAGAAGGCTCCAAAATAACAACGCATAGGAAACAATACTTAATCTGATTTGATCAGTATATCTGGTAGGTATGTATTAAAATATACTACTAAAATATACTGTTCCCCATAAGGACATATAGCTATTATAGGTTAATTAAAATATAGTATGTTTGTATACATAGGATTTTATATGTGCATTGATCGAGAATAGAACATTCAATTTTCATTCTTATAATCAACTGATATAGGGATATAGCAATAGGTCACAGTTTTCTTGACTCATTTGTTTAAAATATATCTTTTTGAGCAGGAGCTTTAGCTCAGTACTATAGCACACAAATAGTATGTGTAAAGATCTGAATTCAATTCCTAGAACTGATAAAATAAAATAAATCTCTTTTTAAACAATGACTTAAGTCAACTGTTTTTCCAAAGCCTTGTGAGTTCAAGCTCATAGGTTATTAATTTTCCTCATGCTATTCCAACAATCTCTTTGGTTGCTTAAAAAGACTTAAGTGTCATCCACAAAGAGGAGACAGAGAAGCAAGCATTTTGAAATGTAGTTACAATATGAAAATAACTTTCAGTATTGGCTTTTATCCAACACTTATTCTGTTGTTTCTTTTTGAGGGCTCCAAGTTTGACTGTCAAATAGTTCCCAGCCTGGGACTCTGGGCACAATACTTTACTGTCAAATTCTGTTTTCCTTTTGTCAACACATAATCTAGCTGTGCTTTCACTGAAGAAATTTCTTCCCCTTCTGGGCTTTCCTGAACGCTGCATGGCATGCAGTAACTCTCAAGTATTGTAATTCTAATGCACCAAACACAAACCAAACACAATTGTAAATGGCTGATGGAGCTTTGTAGGGGTCTGTGAACATTTGGCCAGGCTGTGAACATGCTGATGAAGGTTCGAGAAATCCTAGTATATATAGCAGTGGGGAAGAGTGCTGGGGAGACAGATCTTTACTTGTAATGACTAATGCATACCCTTAAATTGATGGAGTTCTTAAATGGCAAGATGGACACCAGTCTCTGGAAACCTGTCCCTGAGCAAGTTCAAGGAGGGGCCTATGCATTTGGCAAGGATTCCCTTCCACATGCCGACATTCAGTATTCTGGTATCTCCATCTGGTGAGTCTCTGATATATGCTGATAATGGCAGTGGGCATTATTTTGTTGCCTGAACCTGTGAAACTTTAGCCTTTGAATCTTCTCTTTTGCATGGTATTCAAATAGTAGCATGGACTCTGAAACAGACTACAGTCCTGAATCCATCTTGAGCTGGTGCAGAAACATGGAAAAGGACTTCCTGCTGTTTTACCCCTCTGGACCTCCATTTCCAAACCTGTGAAATGGAGGTAATAGTAGTTCTGTTTAAGAATTAGCAAATGAGATCCCCAAAATAGAATAGTAAGTTATCATTGGAAAGCAGCCATTATTCTATTTAAGACCACAAGGGTAGTTTGTATTAGAGTTGTGATTGCTGTACTCCAAGCTCTTGAAGTGCTAAACAGAAAATCTCCTTTTTATTTTTCAAAACACTATCAAGCTTCTTTTCAATCCCTTCCTTTTAAAACTAAAAGTGTATTGATTTTTCTTCCTTAGTGCCCTCTGGCTCACACAAATCTGCACTGAAAATTCACTAGCATTTTATTTACTAAATTTGACCTTGATGTATTTTAAGGCTTGCAATATTTAAAAAGCCACTATTGACCATTCTCAATAGCTGTTATTATGTTGCATTACAAAAAAATCCATCCACTTTACCAACAAGGGCAATCAGTGGTTCCTTATGGATGTGGTATTGTCTCTTTCAATATATTTGATCTTTCACCAAAAGACCTATTTAATGGCCTTTCAGATGAAATATTTTTTTGTTGTGGCACCATCTGATATTTTCCGATCATTTTTACATTAACCTTTAACAGGGCACATTAAACAAAACATGAAAGTGGTGATACAATACAAAATGGTTCATAGTAAGGACATTGGATTATGATTTTCTCTGGAGCAAACCCAAAATCCGATGAGAGAAAACTCTGATTGTGTAAATATCATCAGATGCTCTTAAATAGTCTAATCAACACACTTTAGTCACTTTAATTTTTAAAAATTACTTTATTTTTATGTGTGTGGTTGTTTTGCCTGTACGTATGTATGTGTACCACATGTGCCTGGTGTCCAGTGCCCACAGAAGCTTAAAGAGGAAGTCAGATCCATCACGTGAGTCCTGGAAATGGAACCTGGGTCTTCTGAAAAAGGAGTCACTGCTCTGAACCTCTGACCAATTTTTCTAGTCCATAATTACTTTTTTTAAAAGTCTTTTATCTGCAATTCTATTCAACTGACATTTTCAGGGGGCATAGTATGTACCAGGAGTTGGGTACAAAAGAATGAATTGATACCTCATTTCTGTACTTGATAAATGCATAGTTTGCAGTATTTAATAACTACATGACTTTGGACAAGTAGTATATCTTCTTTGTAATCCATATTTTGTTTATCTGTTAATGAAATGAGTAGCAGGACATGTTTCATAGTGTTTATGCAAGTATGAAATGAGTTTAATACATGTTGCTGTTAGGCCAGTGCCAGAATGATAGTAATTACTTAATAAATGGCTGCTATCACCTATCAATCAGTCATCATCATCACTATCTGTTTTTCTCAATTATCAAAGTGTATGCCTTAGAATACCCTAACTTTCACAGGATATTGTTAATTTGGTTAAGAGTGTCTATAATTGGCTGGGCAGTGGTGGTGCATCCCTTTTTTCCAGCACTCATGAGGCAGAGCTAGGTAGATGTCTGAGTTACAGGCCTGCCTGGTTTACAGAGTGAGTTCTAGGGCAGCCAGGGGTACACAGAGAAACCCTATCTCAAAAAATAAAAACAAAACACACACACACACACAAAAAAAAAAAAACAAAAAAAAAACAAATCAACCAAACAACCAAACAACAAGCAAGAAAACCAACCAACCAAATAATAAAGGAGTTGCCATAACTAGGAAACTTTTTCAGAGTGCATTACTTCTTAACAGCATCTTATTCTTCTCATGAAGACAGTGTTCTCTAAACATTTTGGACTTTTCAATGAGAACTCTTGCAGAATAGTGATTTGTAGTATAAATTTCTAACAGCTTAGCTTTAGATCTCTGTTTTGTCTGGATTAAGTGAACTGAGCCACTTTCAAGTACTTCTCATAGGCAGGCATTTTAAGAGTGTGTCAGAAAATATCGAAGTCAAGCAATTACAAATCTCTGTGGTTTTAAGCATCTTTAGTTTTCTTTTCTGTAAAATTGTGGCAAACATTACTATGTAATGGGACTGTAACAATGAATAAACTAGATAGTTTATGATAAATCCCTGGCTTCTGGTACACATACCCCTCAAAAGGTGAGTTTTCTCCCTGTGCAATGCAAGGGACTCCATTTACCCATGACAGAGTAACAGGGAAGTTAGACTTAGGCTCATCCTTACAGAAGGTAAGGTGTCTTTCATGTTTGTTGAAGATGGCCTTTGAACTGTAAGGGGAGTGTAAGTCTACTATTATTCCCTATTACATTGTCTCAGCCAACAACATCAAAACATTCTGAAGGAGCCAGTTGACTTTTCCATAGACTAGAGAGAGCTCTTTAAGCTGCTTGTAAAGTTCTGTATCAGAGGCTGACAAAACATTTTCCAGAAAGAACCAGATAGACAGTAAATATGTTAGGCTTTGAATTGTTACATCTGCTTCAATGATCATCTCTGCTATTATTCCCCAAAGTAATCACAGGGCCATAAGTGGATGAATGTGTCTGTTTGTCAATGGCATGTTTAAAATTTAAACTTTAGGTGGTGGGTTGCATTTGTCCTGAGGATTGCAACTTGACAATCCCATTGTTGATTATAATGAAGCTGCAACCAAGGCAACATCAGCACACCCTGCACACTGAGTGTGTTCCCTTCCGCTGAAGGGATGTGACATGACAGGTGGCAGGAAAGTTAGAATGGCTGAGAAATCTAATGCCATCAGCCATCTGTGCAGTGGCATTCTCTAATGAGACCAAGTGATACCAGCCCTTGGTTCCATCTAATGTCCTTCATCAGCACACCAATTTTGGGAGTCCCCACAGGCCTCAGCTCACCAGAACCAGCCATCTCTGGGTTGTCATTGATCCATTCTTTCTGATATTTGTCCTCTCCATTGAGATGTAATAATGTCATGACTGACTAGAACAGAGGCTTATGCCCTAATTGTGGCTGTTCTCCGTGATGTCCTCATGATTTGCAAATAGAAGATGTTGTGTCAAATGACCTTTAAGGCCCTGGCCAACTTCTAATAGCCCATAAATCTCCTGAGAATAGTTTCCAAGGCTTTACTTTTCTATAAAAAATAGTTATAGTTATTCAAATACTGTGTACATGCTACAGTGCAGTGTAGCTTTCATATATCACAAGTCAGGGTTGTAAAAAAAATTAACTGATGTACCAAGGATTATCTAGTCGTGATTCAGTCATTCACTGTTATCCCAAAATGCAGTGTTCTGTGATCTTATTGCTAACTTCCCCCACACTTGATACAGAGGTGAATGTCTATGAACTACCCCAAGTGACAAGCCCATCAGAGATGCAATACTTTTTCATGGATGACTTGTGTTTTCCTCTTAAAGAATTCAACCAACATTCATAAATGGTATCTTTTTAATAAGA